CAGAAAGTCTTGGAGGACTAATCTACAAAAGTAACACAGATGGAAAGGACAACATTTCATCTGAGAGGAATCTTTTTTATCCACATGGTCTTAAACACACTTAATGATAAGATCATTAACCGAAACCTTTCTAATTCGAAGCATAAGTTATCCTCACAACATAGGAAGTCATTATGATAATCCAGCCTTTGTAAGAAATACGCTGATTTCGTTTGAATACATATTCCATGTAAGGAATGTTATGTAAGAAGTCTGTTACACATAGTTTACGATATGTATTAGTAGCAGTAATTACATCTTTACTGAACGTTTCTTAGTGAAAATATCAAGTTATACTATTGTTATTACAGTACTTGTATGAATATGTATTTGCACAACGCAAATGGAACATATGTTGTCTATGTACAAAATATACAAAACGTTGTGTTACACTGTTACTTTTTGAGAAATAAAAACTGTGTAAAAAAACGTTAAAAGGCATTTCTTATAAACCTGTCCTCTCATTAACCTCAAATAAAGCTTAACCTCGTTGAGGTCCGTCTAAATTTTTTTATTAGTATGAAGCAATATCACATACCAACACTGGATAATTTTGAAGTTAGGAGCTCAGCAATAAAGTTTACTAAAAGTAAAAGTATTTCACGATTTAAGTTCATTTCAGTTGTGTTATGTGTATTTACTCTCTCTCATATAACCGTACATGAACGTATTTATAATAAGAGGGTTCATATACACAAAGAATAAGTAAACAATACAGTCCCACTATTCGTTGGTAAAGTGTAGCCCAAAAGTTTGCGGTGGGTGGTGTTTGAATAGTTGTCTTCCAGCTAATCCATCACTTCTAAATTAAAGTAGATAACCTTTGAGTAGCATTGCGCGAAATTCAATAAAACAAACGTTCTAAACTATTATTTTCAAACACCTAAACGTCAGTACAAGAAGTTCATTCGTCACAAGTGTGAGAGTAGTCAACTAGCCTTCTATCGTGCCCACAATGCGATGAATTAAAATCTGCGGGTTTAGTTTCGCGGGAAAATGTGCGAGCTTATAATTTGTTTGTTTATTTGTGAATTTCGCGCAAAGCTACACGAGGGCTATCTGCGCTAGTCGTCCCTAATTTAGCAGTGTAAGACTAGAGGGAAGGCAGCTGGTCATCACCACCCACCGCCAATTCTT